AGAAAAAAACACCATCCCCCATCCCATACAAAAAACCCCCCCCCCCCCCCCCTCCCCACCCCGGTGTTTGTCATCGGGGTTGGGTTTTCGTCGCTTGGCAACGACGTTGTAAAACAAGCCGCCCCCCCCCGGTGTTTGCCATCGGGGTTTGGGTTTTCGTCGCTTGGCAACGACGTTGTAAAACAAGCCCCCCACTCGGTGGTTGCCATCGGGATTGGGTTTTCGTCGATTGGCAACGACGTTGTAAAACAAGCCAATTCACTTCGTGAACTCGGCAACCAGGTTACCGTTTTTTTTTTTTTTACCTCGGTTTTTTTTTTGGCGGTAACCATAATGGTGGTCGAGTAGATCATGTTGTGCGGCGTCGAGAAACCTCACTCCGCGCAACGGGGGATGATCGCACCACGTTGTGTTAAAATGGTCAAGCTTCCTCGAGGCAGTTACACAGTGCTTACAACTGTCTCTGGAAAGTGAAAGCACCAGAAAATAAATTAAGTCATACGTAGCTGTCATCCGTACGCAAGGAAGTAAGCACAAGATGCCGAATACCCTTAGCAGGATGCAGCTCACCCTTCATGCGACTCGCCAAATCCCTCACGGCGCTTCGCGCTTGGTGATGTGAGACCCTGGTCCGGTGAGACCCCGGCGTGCTCCGCCCCGGCTTTGTAGGGATGGGGGGCCAATGGTCAAAGGATTAGGCCATCCAGGATTAGGGGTCCCCCCCCCCCCCCCCCCCCTCTCCGCCTGGTCCGGTGAGAACCCGACGTGCCGTCCCGGCTTTGTAGGGATGCGAGAACAACGCGACTATGAGTACACGCTCACACGCACCTCCACTGGCGCGGAGGATCGGGACACTGCTGTCGTGCACTGTTTTTTTTTTTTGCTTGTTCGTATCATCCGGGTTTCTTGGGGGGAATGTTGGTTGCGGTGGCTTGTGCGTGCGAAAATCGGACAATTTTCAGTTTTCGTTGTTGATGATTGCAGCGTGCCGGTCGATGCAACATGCGCGCAAAGGTAGGCATGAGTAGTCCCGACCGATGGCCTCCACTGGGCGTCGTTCGTTTTCTCTTTCGCTTGATGCCGTCCAATTGTTTTTTTTGTTTGGAAGGTGGACCGCATGGATCTGGTGGGGAGCGTGAAGGACTCGGACGTGATCATCGTGGACGACATGATCGACACCGCCGGCACTCTCTGCAAGGCCGCTAGCGTGCTCAAGGAATACGGAGGTAAATGATCCGCCAACACAGCTGTTTTGTTCTATTTGCATTGGAGTAAAATGTACACTAAAAATATCCTTTGCCATCAAGGGCGCGGAGTTCCTGCGGTTTGCATGGCTTCGTGCTGCTGCTGCTGCTGCTGCTGCTGCTTTCCGAAAAAATGCTAGTTCCACCGCTCTAGCCCCGCATGCCGTTGTTGCATCAACTGTATTCCCCTTGACGCCTCGTTTCTTCGCCTTGGCCAGGCAAAAGTCCTCCTTAACCCTTCCGTACCCTTGCGCCCACATCCCCTGACCGCTCGTTGTACCCTGCCTCGTCAGCTCGCCGCGTCTTCGCCTTCGCCTCCCACGGGCTGTTCAACGGCCCGGCCAATCAGCGCCTGGCGGATAGCGAGCTTTCCGAGGTACGTGCTGCCGCTCGTTCGATTTTTCTGCCGGGCCACCGCATGGTATCCTGTGGTGGAACCGAGCGCCGGGAAATAGTTTTTCGAGGGCTCTTTGCTGCCTGTTTTTGGGGGCGCCTTGTCCGGATACGTTTTTTCGTGCGAGGTCTGGTCGTGACGGGTGTACCAGACACCATGCAACTATTTTTTTGGTCTTTGCCGACAAGTTTTTTTTTTCTGTGAATGGGCCAAACTGGCTATAAACAGTCCAGCGGTTACATTGTGGCACCAGCTTTTCAGGAACAATGCGGTTGTTCGTGAAGCTTTCAAGCGTATGATGCACGTTTGCGCGAATTTTGTTGAGAGAATACCCTTCGGCTTCTTCGGAGGTAGGCGACCCAGCCACAGCTCGGTTTCGGTGGACGATATCATCGCCCCCGGTCTCCGGTTGCAGCCGTTGCCTTCGGTGAGCTCGGCGCGCGGCCGCAGGCCCTCCCCCCGGAGTAAACCAGTGCGCCGGTTTCCGAGGCGACGGCAGCATTCTGGGGAAAAACCACCTCGACAGCGGCCATAACCCTGGCAGTGAAGGCTTGGCATTGATGGGTGAGGGCGATGGTCGGCGTCGGGTTCACGGGTCGGCTTGCCAGTACCGGGAGCGATTGTTCGCCTTCGGGCGCCGGCTGGGACAGGGAGGGAGGGAGGGTGTGCCTTTGGCGCACATGTTGGAGATAGTTGATGCCGGGCACCAGCACGACGTCGGCGCGTCCAGCTGGCTCTCGGCATCCATTCTCTGCATGATGCGCTCCATAGCTCCTTTCCATCCTTGTCCCAGTCGGCGCCCAAAGGCAGACAGTCGCCCCCCAGCACCGGCAAGCTCGGCGAAGAATCCGAACCGATCTTCGTCCCCACCGTTCAATGCCAGTCTCCTCCTTGGCTGGGGTTGTGGCCGCGGCCGTTGTGTTCGCCAGGTTGCCGCCTTCGCCTCGGAGACCGATGCAGAGGCCTACACTCCGGAGGGAGGGGCGGCGGCCGCGGCGGGCTCACCAGAGGCAACGGCAGCAACCTCGGGCTTGGTGGCGGGGAAGAGGCTGATGCCGTCCCTCCGCCATCAGTGTTTTCATGAAACCCTTACGAGTGTCGCGGAGGCTTCGGGGTCACCGTCTGTGTAGCGTACTGTAGCAGTGCACCTCGAGCAGTGGTGCAGCCACTCGTGGTCCCGTGATGCGTTTTTTTGTCGACATGAGCGTTGTTTGAAGTCTGAGTGAGAAGTGAGACCTTCCAGTGGTGTCGTGCTGTCAGTTGTTTTGACCCTGGTTGTTGTGGTGGCGAGAGCTGGAGCGTTTTTTGTCCGATTTTCTGCCCACAACGCACCGTCGGGATAGGAAAGTGGTGGCAAGCGTTGAGTATGGGTTGAATGAGAGAAGATCCCCCGTGCTGTATTTGTACACGGCGACTAGCCATGTGGCTGTTGCAGTCGTGAACGCTCGATGTCGCGCTGTCACCGGCTGGTAGAGGACGGATAAGTCGTGTCCGCAGGCGTTGATTCACGCGTACGTCTTGTTGAGTCTAGCATTCCATATATTTTCAACAAAATTGCCATATCACTCACGTTTTCCCCGGGTTTGCTCGGTGGTACGTGCACAAGTGCCTTTCCTCCACGTAACATTATCCGTGTCGCAAACGTTCGCACTTTTTTTTTCTTTCTGGTGCTCGCTTTCAATATGTGTTCAACAAGTTTCTTGAGCTTGAACTTTCCGGTATTTCTGCGTAACCCTCCCCCCCCAAGACGTGTCGTGTCTGTCCTCCGTCACCAACCACCCCTGCTGCTGTTGTTGTTGCTGCTGCGGTTGTCCTTGCGTCGTTTGGCTTACCCCCCCCAGGTGGTGGTGCTCGACACGATCCCTCTCAGCCCCGACTGCGCCAACAACCCCAAGATCATCCAGCTGTCCGTGGCACATCTGCTCGCCCAGGCGGTCTACAACATCCACCACAAGAAGTCCATCTCGGCTCTTTTCAAGTAGAGAGCAGCAAGTGGCCCATCATCAGCCCACGTGTTTATCATTCTTTTGGTTTTCTTCGGGCGAATAGGAGGCCCCCCCGCTGTGATAGGACTAAGTCGGGTGTGAACTTTTTTTTTGCAACCACCGAGTCAGCAGGCCCCCGCCCGCCCCGTGCGCCCCTTTCCTGCCGCATCGGCAAGCTCTTGGGTATTGAGGTAGAGGAGCATGATAGAGGAGAGGTGGAGGAAGTACCAAAGAGTCCGCGCTGAGGCGGGTGTTGTTGTCAATGAAGCCCGAGCTTAGGACAACGGGCAACCTTCCCAGGAAGGGAGAACGTTCTACCCTTCTTTGAAGCTTTCGGAGAAACAGCGAAGGGGAACTCCTTGTGTTTCAAACGGCGTCCTGGCGTTTGCGCTAGCTCGCCGCGCCGCGTTGGTGCGGGCAGCTCGGGTAAAAGGCTGCAGGTGTTTTCCAATGAGTGGCCTGGGGGTTGTGAAACGGAGATGTGCTGACGTATATGATTTTGTTGGGGATATTAGGTTAGGCGTTGGGGGGGGGGCGTGTTGTTCTCGCATGTTCCATGGTTGTGTTGGTGTTTTTTTGTGTAGAGTTCCACGCCCCTGTTTTGCTGGAGTTTTCTCCTGAACAGGGGGGCGTTTCCATAGTTGCGGCAAATGTGATGGAACCTCTCGTTTCTTTGCCACTGACACGCTGCAGGCGGAGGTGGGGAGGAGGGCGGGTGTAGAGAGCCTCTCAAACAGATACGCTTTGGCGTCTCTTGAAGCTGAAGGTTGTTGTCATTTCCTCGAGGGCGATCAATCGCTCAGCGCGTTCCTCCCGCGGCGACAGTGGGGTAGAACGTCCTACCGTAGGCACTGCTTTTGTTGGTTTTGGGGATGTTGCCGTAGCAAAGGAGACAAGTTATGTGCTTTTGTTACTCGCAAGTTGGACTTGTTTTTTTTAATGAACGAACCGAAGACACGGACTTGATTGACAGAGATGAATTGGATTCTACACGTAAAGACGCAAAGAGGATGCGTTCAGTACGAAATCCTTCAGTGAAATATCAAGAGAACCAGCGACCGGAAGCGTCTGGCACTTGCCGTTTCGCGTCTAAGGGTCGCAGAAAAGGACTCCCACAACATTCTAGCCTGCAAGACGCGAGAAGGGTTAAATCGTCACACCTTATAGGTGCAGGGAAAACAAACTACCAGGGCTGGACACACCACAACACGACCTCAACGCACGTTTGACCAGACATAAAACAACCCGACGTCTTGATGGGTACATCCACCACCGCCCAACGCGACCTGCCGCAATACCATGACACCTCCAACCACCACAACCATCTACGACCAAAATGGAGTCCTTCTCGGGAACAATCGGTCAGGGCCGCCCAATGTCTCTCTCATGGCTCGATGCACATTATTATCGGAGGTCGCTTCCACCACGGCGACAAGAACTCCGGCGCCTCCCACCACACCCCTCTAGCTGTGTTGAGTGCCGGGTCTGCCAGGAGGCCATCGCGGATGGTCGTGTCGATCATTTCCCGCACATCTTGGGGCAGGTGGGGGCGGAAAACATCGTTGCCGTCGTTGATTCTTGCGCCGCCCGCGCCCCCGCGTTGCACCAGAGGCGACCACAGGAGCGGGCATGCGAGGAGCCGGGACACGGTGTCGAGACTCGGGCGCCTTAGCGGGTTCGCATTCAGCAGCGACAGGAACGCTTGTGTGACCTGAGGTTTTGTGAATCAGGCGTGAGGTGTTTGGTGATGCTGACGTATTGGAGTCAGTCGTGTTTGCAATCAAACGTGGGGGTGGGGGCGGAGCAAAAAACGAGAGAGACGGGAGGGTTTGGGGGCTTTCATGGTGAAAACAACAACTCATGACTTAGTCACCCAGTGGCTCCACGGTCACTGCGGCCAGCTCAAGTTTCGCCGCTTCAAACACTCGAGGCCGACGCTCTGATTTGCTGGATGCTTCACGTGTTGTCATCGATCTAGCCTCAAAATACACAACTTTCTGGTTTTCAGCGGCTTTACCGGCTAGACTAGGCTGTGAGACAAATCACAAGAACTGCAACCAATCCCTTGAGCTCTCCGAAGGGTAGAAATCATCTGCCCTAGAATCATGGGATGTCCACACGAAAAGGACGTCGTTTCCACAAATCATGGGATTCCACCAGAGAAAGTCGTTTCCGCACTTTCGACCCCCCGCCCCACTCACCGACACCGCCGCAGAGCGGTCTGTCGATACAGTGATGCACGAGCAAAGGCCAGGCATCCACCCACAACAATAAGTGCATCAACATAATAGTATTGATAGGCGCGAGCTTACTTCATCTTCCCTATGCAACGCCTCTCCTCTGCCCAACTCAAACGAGCTATGGTACGGGCGAAATGCTCACACCTCTTCCTGGAAGAGCAGTTCCCCCGACTGGTTCCACTTGCTCGGGTTCAGGATGGTCCTGCGGAGGTCTCCCATCTTGGCGGGCTGAGCTGCGTAGTTCACCTGAGCGGATGGATGTCATGCGCGTTGTCATGACATGGAAATACTTGAGGTGTCAAGTCCTGCGTTTCTTGGGCTCTACTCGGATCTTTTGAGCCAAACGTCAGCCAAGTGTCCTTGTATGATGAATACAGTACTGTAGTTCTCGACAGGGGCGGGGGAGTTTCGCTGTCCTTGCAAATATCACATCAGTATTGTAGACGCGGGCATGGCACAAACGAGAGGGTGCTGGTGTGCCGGGTGATGAAGGATCGTTACATACAGACGCATGCCGGTCGCCCCGGTGGTCTAGTCGGTATCCCCGAAACCTTCTAGAGGTCAGGTCAGGGGTTCGAATCCCGGCGTAAGCGAGATTTTCTTGCAAAGTGAGTTTTTCTCTCGCTTCTGCTCCTGTGGTCTAGTGGATAGCGCTAGTTCGTGTGTACACAGAGGGAAGAGATTGCTGAACTCTTCTCGCATTAAAAATCGAAGGCAAAGTACCGCAGGAGGGGAGGGTAGAGAAGGGCTCTTCTGTGCGACCACGGGGGTTGGAGACGGCACTAGTGCTGTGAACGCTGATTTGAAGTGAAGACAAAAAAACAAACAAAAAAAAAACAATTTGTGTTGCTTCAGTGTTTCATGCGATTGTCTTTGAGAATGTTGGCGAAGCGAATTTTGGTAGAAACAGAACGGGCGTGCCGAAGACATTCATCGCCTCCTACAGCAGTACTGTGCGTGGGTCTTCTACAGAGAGAGTCCATGTGGCACAGACAGTTGGGAAGGCAGGTAGCGTGAACACAAGGTGCTAGAAGTGTGCCGCCGACCCGCCCCCTTGCCCCTAATAATGGTCCATGTTTCAAGGGCAGACCTGCAAAGGATGATAAGTATACATTTAGATCTTGATCGGGAGCAGGCGCATCGAAGCACGAGGCACAAATCAAGACGTGTGGCCGACAGACACTCGTCGACAAAGGGCGTGGACAACTCTCTCCCCTCATCGGCGACCACAATAGACTACTGGTATGTAGCCGCTTTGGTAGGGGACGATGCACCGGGAAGCGGTGCCTCTGCAACAGAACACCGAAAACGTGGAGATCTCCCAAACGACGGGGATTTGACAGCTATGGCTGTAGGTTGTGCGACTCACGTGCAGGTCGAGCACGACGGTGCTAGCATCCTCGAACCGCTCCTTGTCGATACCAGTTCCCGTTGCTTCGAACTTCTGCTTCAGGTAGGCGGCGTTCTGGACGGCTGAGTGGAAGCTCGGGTGCTTGGGGGTGAAGCCATGCGTAGCCAGAGCCTGGAAGAATCGAGGGTGGAAGAGGGCCGGAAACGTGAAGATGAAAACATCGAAGCGTACCCTCTCCACCAACGAACCTGCAACAAAACTTCGTAGTGGACGGCGGTCAGAGCTAGCACTAATGCTGTTAACTTTGGTTCAAAGCAGCAGCGGAAGGAGAAACAACAACAACAACAACAACAACAATATCTACGAGCAACAATATTCGACGAGCACGCCCGTCGTTTCTCTCGCCTTGCCACTGAACCGCGACCCCTCCTCGACGAAGAGGACCTGAAGCATCATCACTCCCAACGAGAAGGTGTCGAGGGAGGGCTGCAGCATCGCCCTCTGAGGAATCTCTCGGCGCAAGAACACCGCAACGGCCTCCGGCGCGGCGTACTGCTTGGAGAGCTCACAGATGGGCTCTCCGCTCGAGCCTGAGCAAACACACGGAAAAACATCGTGTCAACTGTTTAACCTCCGCCGTTTTGGTGGTGGTGGTGGTGGTGATGACAGCAGTACAATGTCAACAATGTCACAACATCATTACAAAGTACGCCTACATACGAAGTTGAAACGTCACGAATACCTCTGAACCAAGTCTCAGCCCGTACAGTGGTTGCGAAAACAGTCTAACCTATTTAGAAACTGTCCAAATACTTGCCGCTCAACCCGAAGTCGGCGAGCTTGATGACCAACCCCTTCGTCAAGAGGCAGTTTTCCGGCTTGACGTCACCGTGCGTCAGGCCCAGCTCAGAGTGGAGGTAGTCCAACCCGCGAGCCGCCCCTGCCATCATCCTGATAGATAGCGTGAGAGATAAACCTGAGCGTTCAGCATTCTCGAATCAAGAGTGGAGACATTGTTTGGTGCTACTGTGAGGAAGTAGGGCAAACTAGGACCGAGCAGGAGCCTTGAGCTGAACTGCTGGAGCTGGTGAATGCAAGTCGGAGTACATAGCCTACAGCATCTAGCAGACTGCACATGTTTGTGCCGACTCTCGCTGTCTCTTCGTCGAAAGCACGTTCGAGAGGAGCTTCTTGAAACACCACCGAGAGTGATATTCGTAGAAGAGGCAACAGGCATTGTATTTCTTCCTGTGTCGTCTAGAAAAAGCTCATTCCAGCCTTACTATTAATAGGAGATTGACATGTGTTTTCCCGACACCGACAAATAAGCGTCGTGATTGCGCTGACCTGACCCGCAGGTTGCCCCCAGCTTGGCTCACATCATCCTGTCGGCGAATGACATCATCTCGAGCACCGCCTTGTCCTCGAGCAGGTGCTGGACGTCGCAGAACGCGGCCGGCATAACCATGCACAGGTTCTCCATGCTCGTGGACATGATGTCGATGACGTTCACGTGGCATCGCGGAGGGATCCTGCCAAAGGAGGTTCGGGAGGCGTACCGCCGTGGGCACGGTAATAGCACCGCAGGAAGATTCAAACAAAGGGTCGGCCCGACTCAACGCGATGCATGAACGTAGACTGTTTTCCAGCGTTCGCCTAGATGCGGCGTTAGGTGTGGGTGAGGTGTTTGTCAGGTCACCAATTGAATCTTCGATAGCTTGCTTATAGGTTTTCTCGAACGACTTCACGTAGCCGAATACATGGTGCTTACAGTGAACAGGGTAGACCTTGGGGGGGGGATTTGAAAGGAAGGTATACTCGTTGCCAACGGTTAGCCCGAACGGAACTCGCGACTCACATCTTCACCACTCGAATCTCCCTCTCCATCGCCATCTCCATGGCACGACCGCCGTCCTGGATTCAAATCAAGTCAGGGGAGTGGATGGAATGGTGTCGGGCCGTGCGATCTTGGAAACAAATGTGAACTTTGACGGACATTTCTCAGCCGACGTTGTCGATCGAACACCGAAAACACCGAAAACTAAGGGGCAAACGTACGGACGGTCCATATAGATGGTTCCCTGCACAACAAACGAAATTTGAACTAAGCACATGGTTACAATGCAAATATGAGCAACTGTACACGAGGCACCACACCAACTGTAACACACCATGGGGACAATCTTCACCACGAGCCCCGCGTCTCCCGTGTACTCGTCCACACGGCTCTGGTGTTCGGCGTTGAGCATCTCGAGCCTGGCCACCACGGCACACCCCCCCTGCCCCAGCCGTCGGCCAAAGGTGGACATTCGCCCGCCCGCACTGGCAAGCTCGGTGATGAACCCGAACCGCCCGTCGTCCCCACCGTACATCGCCAACCCCCCTTCGCTGACAGGCTCTTGGTCACTGTCGCTGTGAGGGCTCGACAGGTTGTTGCCGTCGCCTCGAAGACCGGTGTAGTGGCCCATTCCGGAGGGAGGGGCGGCGAGTGCGGCGGTCTGACCGGAGGCAACGGCGGCGGCCGAGGGCTTCGTGGCGGGGGCGATGCTGAAGTCGTCCACGTGCTGCGGCGGGGGTGGTCGTGGTGATCCAACGCCCGGCGGCAGTGGCACCGGCGTCGGCATCGGTGAGGGCGTGGAGACGTGGAGCGGAGGGACACCTCCATCTACGACCATCGCCGGTAGCTCGGCCTTCGGCGGCTGACGAGGCCCCACGCCGGTGGCCGCGTGCGCGAAATCCGTCGCGCTTCCACGAAGGGCCACCTTCGGCCTGAATCCCTTCTCTCCTTCCTTAGTGGCGGCCGCCGGCGTGAAGGCCGGAGCGCATGCTCGGAGGGGTGTCCTCGGCGTGAAGGCAGGAGCGCATGCTCGAAGAGGTGTCCGCGGCGTGAAGACGGGAGCGGATGGTCGCAGGGGTGTCCAAGGTTTCGCTTGATCCACGTCGTCGACTTGGGTGTCCATCTGGTCGTCGTCAAAAGGAGGTAGTGTCGGGGAGTCGGTTGGTTGATTGATCGCGTTGCGCAGCGAGAAAAGACGTACCAGGTACAATTGTTTTCCTCATAACTAGTTTGTTCCAGGGGGCAACACGCAGAGTGGCAGGCGCCTCTCGTTGTGTGTTGCAGAACCGAATAACCGTCGAGTACACTTTAAAATTGTCAGCAAGGGGACAGAGGGTGAGGGATCCAGGCGAATATTTCGGCCACATGACGTTCAAAATGAAGTCATCACGCCCAAAACAGTGTGTTGCGGCAGCGACCGGTGTTCATCCACACACCATGACTGGGCACGAGTGGCGACCATTGGACAAACGCAAGAGTGCTTCGGTGGCGTATGACCAACAAACCTCCTGTTCCGCCGGAAGCTCGACCACCTCGGCCGTCGCAAACGCCCGGCGAGGCAGCTGCGCGGATACCTCGCCGCTTGCGCGTTGGGGACCGTCTTCGTCCGTTGTCCCTTCGATGTCGTCGTCGCACGTGTTGCTCTCCGTGCTTCCGTCAGGGGGGAAGTAGCCGCCCCAGGCCTCGCCGTCGTCGGTCCAAGGGGATGGAGGACCCCCCTCCGCCTCTCGCTCCCCCGCGCGGGATGAGCTAGCGTACCCGCCGGTGCTGCCACCACCGATGCTGCTGTCGCTCCCTTCGTCGCTACCGAGGGACGTCTCGTAGCCGCCCCACCACCCCCCGCTGTTGGTCGAGGCGGGGGAAGAGAGAGTCCCCTCGTGCTTGCCGTCTTCGGGTTCGCTGTTCGGTTGGTCTTTGGGGGCCTCGTCTTCTCGGGCTAACGGGCTGGCTAGATCGAGGGCTGGGTCGACGCTACCGCTCTCCTAAGACCAATGGGGTGCGGGAGTTGATATGCAGCAGTTTGCAAGGGGTTTCGTTGTTGTGGTGCCTGAAAAGCCCAAATCAGCACCGGCTAGATATCTCGAGCCTCGTACTGTAGCGCAAGGTTGGGATGTCAATCTTATCCTACTGGAAACCTGAGCCAACCCAGGTGGAGAGAATGCGACAGCGCTGAATCGATCGGCCAGCCTTATCGGCAACACAACACGTGTGTTTCGCTACATACGGAGAGTAATCCGCGCTTGGGTGATCTGGCAGGGACCACACGACCGTCGCGAAGTGTTTGCTACAGGCTTGGAGAAGGGGTGATACATGCACGTGCGTGAGGCTTGAGGTAGGCGACGACAGAGGCAGAGGATCTCGAGAAATACTCTGGCCCCTGGGAAATTCATCGAGTCAGTATGTGCCAGTACACTAAATACGCGTTACAAGAATTTGGGGCGAACAACGTATATACTCGCTACAAGAAGAGCGAGCGGCCCCTGGAGACGCGGACGGCCACTCTGGCTGCGGGAGGCACGACAGAGATGCAACAGTAGTACTGGCACCCTAGGCGCGGGCCTCTTGGTTTCGCGCTTTGTCTCTCCTCGTCTACCCTGCTCGGCATCTCTGCAACAGCAATCGGTTAGTGTCTGGGCATGAAGAAGATGCTGTCCAAGCCTAGGTCAGAAAGCGGCGGAAACGGGCGAGCTCTACCCTCAGTTGCTCCCTGGGGCATTACCCACAATTTCAGCTCTCGCAGTCCACTCCGTACAACACC